ACTACCCTTAATACTATAGTTAAAGAGGCTTTTACTACTGCCTATATTATAAAAGGTTTTAAGAAGGTAAATATATAGCTTATATATAATAATATTATACTTAGCTAACTAGTTAAAAAAATATAATAAAGTAATAAAGATATACTATTATATTTTATTTATTATTTACTATATAATAACTACTTTAATAAGGTAATCTTTATTACTAACTATATAGAGAAAAAATATAGTAGTATATAAAGTAGTCCTTTAAAAAAAGGATTTAAAGTAGTAAAGTAAGTAATTTATAAAGGATTTTTACCTATAAGTACTAGTAGTAATACCTTAAGGACTAAAATACTAGACTAGAAATATAGTAATAGAAAAGCTAGTACTAGTAAGCTATTAAACTATAATACTCCTTTATAACTAGTATTATTATTATAGATATAAAGGAGGTATATAATAAGTAAGTTATAAAGGTAATATAAGTAAAAATATAGTACTAATAGGTAGTAGTAAAAAGGATAGCCTATAAGTAAAAAAAAGAAGTCTAGTAGTAATATAGTACTACTAAGTATTAAGAGGTAAATAAATAAATAAAGTAACTAACCTTTAAATAATAGCTAGTCTATACTAGAGAAAATTAACTATATATCTTATTTAACCCTTTAGATCTATAGTAGTATAATAATAATACTAAAAGTAAAAAGAAATTTACTATTAACTTTAACTTAGCTCCTCTACTATAGTATATACTTAACTAATTTAAGTATATAGTAAGACCTCTTAGTTAAGGTAATATTAATTAGGTATTAGCTAATATAGCTATAGAGGTAGTAAGGCTAGAATTTAACCCTAAGATTTTTATAGATATTAATAACTTTATTAATAAGAATATTAATTTAGTTATATTAAGTAAAGAATTAGTTAGTATACCTAGAAGTAATAATAATAATAATAGTTATATATTATTACTATTACTACTAATAACACTAATAGCTAGCCTTTTAATATTATAAGGTCCTTTATAATATAAGTTATAATATTACACTATAAAGGATAAAATAAATAGCTAGAGGGCTATAAAGGTTATACTATAAAATTACTTATTTATACCTTTATTAATATAAATAAAAAAAGACTAGTAATATATAGTAAATAATAATAAAAGTAATACTTATATTATAGTAGTAATATAAATTTATAGTTATTATATAAAAAAAGAAAAAAAGGTACTATTATAAAGCCTTTAATTAGGGCTATTAATTAATACTACTCTTGTTATTATATAACGCTATAGGCGTTATTACTTTAAGAAATAAAAAGTTAACTATACTATATAACGTACGCAAAAGTGAGGGTATTTGTGATGGGGGTTGGCAACCCCTTTTTCGGAGTGGCAACCCCATTTTTTTGCCCCCTCTGTGAGGAGGGGGTATTTAGCTCACAGCGCTGACTAAGTTGCCCCCGGGTATATGGTCTGCAAAGAGAGTTACATCCTCCTTTTCTGACCATAAGAGAATGGCAAGCCCTTGAGGTCATTTTGAGCCATCCAGGATCACAAGTAGGCTAGGGAACTCGAAGCCCACAGTTACAAGTCAGCAGTTGATGGAAAATACAATGAGGTTAGATTTCTCGATATGAAATGTCACAATAGCATTTGGTCAAGTTCCAAATGTCACAAAGATGTAACATTTAATGCAGTCTGCCGTAACGTCAATGAATACAGCAGATAGATGTGACAACCAAGCAGGACAACAGCGGAGGGAGGTTTTATGAGAGAGTATACAACATTGTGATAGAGTTCGATCACAAGTTCGTATCATTTAAATAACAAATATAAACCAGTTTCTATTTAGCTACATGACGTGGTTGATGTACTGCGTAATGTTACTATCTGGAGGATTGAACTATGTTAGCCTCCTGTGACTTCTTTAGTAAGCCTTGGTAGGTGTAGCGGAGTCAGAATCACTTCCGCGAGTGCTCGTGACACGGACATAGGTCTTGAAGCCGGAAGGTGTGTTTCCGCCACCGATGTTTGGGAAGGCTTTGGCTTCGCCACCAGCAACCGGAAGCACAGTGGGAAGTGTGATACCCTCACCGCTACCACCGAGAATTCCAGTAGGTAGAACGTTGTCGAGCGCACCGCCAATGCCACCCTTTCCAGCAATACCACCACTGCTACTATAGGCCTTGGAGGGGTTGACGCTGCCCTTGTCGTTGTTGCCTCCAAGAAGCCCGGCAGGAAGAGCGTTGTCGAGAGCACCGCCAATGCCACCATTTCCACCAATACCACCATTGGCCTTGTTGTTGCCTCCAAGAAGCCCGGCAGGAAGAGCGTTGTCAAAACCACCACCAATGCCACCATTTCCACTAATACCACCATTGGCCTTGTTGTTGCCTCCAAGAAGCCCGGCAGGAAGAGCGTTGTCGAGAGCACCGCCAATGCCACCATTTCCACCAATACCACCACTGCCACTATAGGCATTAGAGGGGTTGACGCTGCCCTTGTTGTTGCCTCCAAGAAGCCCAGTAGGAAGAGCGTTGTCAAAACCACCACCAATGCCACCATTTCCACTAATACCACCATTGGCCTTGCTGTTGCCTCCAAGAAGCCCGGCAGGAAGAGCGTTGTCGAGAGCACCACCAATGCCACCATTTCCACTAATACCACCATTGGCCTTGCTGTTGCCTCCAAGAAGCCCAGCAGGAAGAGCATTGTTGAGACCACCACTAATGCCACCATTTCCACCAATACCACCATTGGCCTTGCTGTTGCCTCCAAGAAGCCCGGCAGGAAGAGCGTTGTCGAGACCACCACCAATGCCACCATTTCCACCAATACCACCATTGGCCTTGCTGTTGCCTCCAAGAAGCCCGGCAGGAAGAGCGTTGTCGAGACCACCACCAATGCCACCATTTCCACCAATACCACCATTGGCCTTGCTGTTGCCTCCAAGAAGCCCAGCAGGAAGAGCGTTGTCGAGAGCACCACCAATGCCACCATTTCCACCAATACCACCACTGCCACTATAGGCATTGGAGGGGTTGACGCTGCCCTTGTTGTTGTTGCCTCCAAGAAGCCCAGTAGGAAGAGCGTTGTCGAAACCACCACCAATGCCACCCTTGCCACCAAGGAGTGCAGTACCGGGCGATATACCCTTGTTGTTGCCACCCAAAAGTCCAGTTGGAAGAACATCGCCAGAACCACCACCTGCTAGATTCGCGGGGACCAGACCAATGTCGCCGCCATTGCTGCCGCCACCGGAAAGATTGCCCGCAGCGGTTTTGTCAGGGCTATCGTAAGAACCTGGGCGAGCGAAAGCACCAGCTGAGAAGGCAGTGAGAGCGGTAGCGAAGACGGAGCCCTTCATCTTGATATTCTTCGAATGTATCGATGCTGTTGATCAGTCGTTTCAGAAAAGAAAATAGAGAAAGATTGGCAACAAATCTGGCCGAATGAGAGGACTGGTTTGAAAGACGAACGGAGGAGAAGACTTGCTCCTAAGTGATAAAGAAAGTATGGAGTGATGTGCGATGGGGACAGAAAGTGTGTACAGCAATTGCGATCAAGGACCCTTTTATGCTCTTGATGTCTGGAAGTACAGAGCGCGTAGTATGGCTGGAACCCGTCTGACTGCGCTGCCATGGTGGCGTCGACTGTTTGAGCAACTTGACGAGAAAGGAAATGATAGCTTATTCGTCATGACACAAGATGCTAAATAAGGCTGTCATCTTAAATTGGAGTAATGTCCCCATGTGTTTAGTTCAGTCCCCAAGCCCTGAGTCTGGACCTTAAGAATTCTTATTAATTGTTATTGTTATTAGATGTCGCTTGAGAGGAGGCTTGAGAGCATAGATTGTGTGACTTGACTGCATTTGATGAAGAGAAATGAGTGGTGAGGTGGATGAGTGTTTTATCAGTATGGCTAACCTCAAATTCTTAAGGAAGCGGGGCAGTAGCGTGTATCAATCGTAAGCTAGTCGGAGTGTGCCATCTCATCCAAACGTGACGTTAAACGATACGCGTCGTCTCGAATCCGCGGATCGACTGCTCTAAGGATCCCGACTTGGCAACTAAACATTCCCTAATTTCTAATCTCTGTACTTCATTTCCCATTTTCTCTAGGGACAAGTTATTGTCAACGGATCTGTGGCGGTTTCGTTCATCGGCGAGGTTTCCACTAAATTAGTTCCCAATTTGCAAAATAAACTACTGTAGCGGCACTTGGCCGTTCATGTTTCACCCTTACCCTCTAGTGCAAACAAAGCTCAGATAGGTCCGAGGGCATTTGCTCTTCGTGTCTCCTCGAACCTATGGGGCTTTGAATCATTTTGATACAAGAAACATGAATAGTGGAAACAGTGAGTCTGCAGCTTTAATGACATTCAACGTTCCTAGTTATTCCAGATCTCGGGAGCATTGAACGTGATGGTAGCGTTCTCCAGTTTGATGCCAGGATGGAAACGTAGGAGACCCGGCCAAAAATTAGGGAAATTCTCATCGCCCACTGCGTTCGTCCCAAGATTATCTTCAACGTCACCACCCTCCTGATTCAAATCAAAAATTCCCAACGATGCACTGTCGGTGACTTGCTCGGGCACAGTGGCAGCCCAATGACTTGTTCCGGCAAGCTCACCTAAGCTGGTGTTGGCATACGGAAGAGGCGGCTGGGCCAGAGTGGCGTTGACGCCCAATATTTTGTACAGATCTGTGCTGAACGGTAGAACGCCTGGCAGTGAAGGCTTGAATTTAGCCTGGAACCAAGGCTTCCCCGCAGGTTTGGACTCTCTTGGGTCTCCCGTCGTATCGTGAGGGTAAATCTTGACAGCTGTTTCCCCGTGCTCATCCTCAGTCCAGTCAAACCGGGCAAGGTGTTTGGGAATATTCCAGTCTTTTGATAAGTTAGCAGCCATCACTGCCTCTCCATCTTCATGGATATTATTGATCAAAAGGAACCCATACTTATTCTCCCATTCCAGCACGTGTACTTTTGACTGACATAGATTCTGCTGACTCTGACATTTGTTCTCTCTTGGGAAATCCCGCTTGCGGCATCCGTGTAACTGTACTTGAAGAAACCAGGAACAATGAGTAGTTCATCATACGGCCCTACGGGACTCTCAGTGTACCGAATGATTTGGATCATGCCTAGACCGCCGAGATATTCGCCCTCCGTAGCTGATGCGAACTGCCGCTCAAGAGGCGGAAACGCCTTTATCGGTAGGTCGGTTGATGGCGTAACAAAGGTGATGGCGTAGACTGTGCCCTTCAGAGTCCATGGTGCGGGTGCAGGCTCGATGGGAGCCGGTGAGTTGTTGTTCCACTGAGCCAAGGTGAGCCCCGCAAAGGTTGCCACCAGAAAAGAAACACCGTATCGCATGATGATAGCTGATAGCTGAGAGATGTCAAAACAGTCGAGGAACTGCCAGTCTTTACTGGCTCATTGAATTCTTATATATTGGGATTGATTAACGCGCTGGCATCGGTGGCAAAACCAATCGAGGTCCACAGTCGAGCTTATGTATGATTTGTGTCGCTCAATCAAGCCGAAATCCTCTTTGAGCGTTGCTCCTCGTCAGTCACAGCAAGCAACAGAGGTCGCTAGCTTACTTATGGCAAGCACATCGGAAAGAGCTGTCGAGCTCCATATTGATTAAGAGATTCTGGTCATGGTCATGCCGATCGACATTGGAGAGAGCGGGGCGGGCGAAGTGGTAGACATTATAGGTTAGCGTGTTGGTTGGGGTGTCTGTTGATGACCCAGAGGTCTGCAATTATGCCAAACGTTGAAATGAGAATATGGACGTCATATAGAGGCTTTGACAATGAAAGCGGGAGGGGAAGCATCCGGAACGTCAAACAAGATGGAGATTCGGCAAACAGCACAGTTGGACAGACACTTGGGAGCTTCAACCGAGCTGCCTATTATTGATGTTCGCTATGAAAATCTCAAAGCCTAGCAGAGAACGACGCTGTTCGTCCCACTTGTTCATTGCAGGGGAGTCGCAACCAATAAGCGAAGGAGTTTACGATGGAACGTTGATGCGCCACTAACTAATAGGTCCTTGTACTGCCAATTTCGCAAATCTAAAGCTTCCTTATCCCCTGTTAGTGGTGGGGGGCTCAACGCGCTCACGACTTGTCCGTTCTCGACTTCAACGTAGGAGCGTCGCCAGTTGATGTGGTGATTGGTACAACTACTGGATCAAAAACCCACCTTCGCCGACCACAAGACGACGCGTCCTAGGCAGAACCCACTTCAGGCAGTTCATGTTTGTGAAGTTGTTGCACCATTGCTAGGATGCATTACTTCAAGTTTCTCCTCCCTTCTGTTCTTAGCGTTGCCACTTCTGGATTCTGGGCTCGATTCTCGTAAGACTAGTAGTATCTGGGCCATACTGGATAGCTTTGTTCGCATATCTCTCGACAGCCTCACTGATATGCCCAACGCCGAGCAAGCCTATGGCAGCGTTGAACAGAGACGTTTCATAACCTCAAAGGTAACGGAACTGTTGCAATAATAAGGGGACCCGCATTGACGAAGTGTGGTAACAAGATGTGATAACGTAAGCAGACCCATAAAACCCTTCGTCATCTCAGCATCGGTATTTGTTCATCACATCATCCCCGCGCCAGTCGAGATACCTCAAAGTTGCTCTTCCGTTACAAACTCTTAGTCTGCTTCACTGCTCATAAGTAGGTTTAACAAAGCATGCGCATGCAATCTATTCGCTCACGTCGTTCAAGTCTGTTACAGGTCCGCTGCCGCCCGTTCAGTCCCTATTCGCAAGCTCTTTTCCACAATTCATCCATCATGACGGCAAAGACCCAAGAACCGGTCATCACCAAGACTTCAGACCTTCCTATCGAGGAGGCTAAATGGGTCACTCTTAAGAAGATCGAATACGTAGATCAGATCGGCAAAACACGTACATGGGAGGTCGCCACACGGAAGACCAGAGGCAAGGCCGGTATCGATGCCGTGGCTATGGGCAATATCCTTCTGCATCCTACCCGTCCGCCGTCGACCATGCTTGTCATCCAGTATCGACCACCACTTGACGCGTACACGGTAGAGTGGCCGGCCGGGCTGGTTGACGCCGAAGAGACGGCTGAACAGGCTGCGGTGCGCGAATTCAAAGAGGAGACGGGCTACGACTGCCGTGTGATGAGCGTGAGTCCGACGCAAGCTGCGGACCCAGGTCTCAGCAATGCCAACATGCAGCTGGTGATGGTCGAAGCTCAGTTGGGCGAGGAGGAGGAGATGCCTGAGCAGCGTCTGGATGATGGAGAGCGCATCGAGCGCGTGATTGTGCCGCTTGCCGAGTTTTATGACCGCTTAGTAGAGTATTCGAAGCAGGACCGCATGATTGTGGCGGCTAAGCTGTTCCACTTTGCAGCTGGGATGAACTTTGCTAAAACGCAAAAGTATCTTGGCTGATAGGACTGGGCCTTTCAACAAAGAATTTATGTTCAAGCGTTCCGAACTTGGGGCCACTGTCGATTAGTAAAACTATTAGTGCACTCTTATGTAAAGTACTCTGTACGGCAGAGCGATATAGTCATGTGTTATAAGACGTGATCCACCGCCCGGCAAAAGGAGCCAGCACCTATCCATACACTATGAACAGAGTCACGTGGACATATGTAGATCATAGGATCCAGTGCTGCAAGCGCCACAGACGCCACAGCCTTGAATTATGTAATAGCTGCGCCACATATATTACCCAGGCTTAGCCCCTTTTTCTTTGTTCCTCAAGGTTTAAGATTGGCTTGGTCTGATGACCACATCATGAATCGCAAGTGACAGACTACATTGCTTAAATATTGTTCACCTGCGTTGCCAAATTCTAATACTCTCTTTTTTCTCGCATAGTCCAGGGTGTCTGTCGGGTCTGGACGAAGCGCAACTTGGCAGGGCGAACCGCGCCACGCATTTGCGCTCAAGGTGACAGCTGATCCGAACGGGCTGGTGGCCTACGGAAGAGTGAAGCAGCAGAGTAGTTATCCTACGGGCAATGTGAGCTCGGCAACTGTGTGAGCAACTGCCTCTGCCCTTCCCTATCCGTGTGGCCAGTACACAACTCTTTACACAAAGACGGCGCGCCCCGTCTCCAGCGGTCGGCTACCATGGACACTCAAGACACGTCGTCAATCAGCAATGGTACCAGCACCAACAGCTCTCATCGCAAGCAGCACAAGCGCTCCTCCTCTCTAGGCTCTTTGTACGAAGTCCTTGCCGACCTTGATGACACCCAGCTGCAGTACCTCATTCAAGAGATGAACCACACCGGTCATCGCAACGTGCCCGTATCCCAGGCGGTATCAGCTTTGGAGGCGCAAGCTCCCCTCAGCTCCCTCAGCTTCACGGGCCCAAGGACGTCAGACCCTGTGCAGGAACCCCAGCGGCGACTATCCAAGTCACAACAAGGAAAGCTCCGACTCCAAACTGCTTTTCGAAGGACCCCCTCGCTGCAACAGGGACAACACGGTTATACAGGAAGCCATGGCGCCCGGGACGCGAACGTGGACGGTGGATCCAGACGCTCATGCAGCACGAGCACGGTCCCTACAACCCAGAGCCGCGAATGTGCCCAGAAGTATAGCGGCTTGCCCGAGGCGTCCGATAGTGTCGTCTGCTCCGCGACTGTCGAGTCTCAAAAAAGTCAATCGCTTTCTCGGCCACCGACAGAAAACAAAACCGACACTGGCGCGGTGCAGCCACCGATTGAAAGAGCCAGACGGGGAGGGCCCACCTACAGACGCATCCCCCGACCGGATTTCAGTCTCCCCGAAGGCGTCACTGTCGTGGATCTGCTTCAACTGCTCGAGGTCGAGTACCTATCTTCCAATTCGTCACGGTCATCCTCCCCTAGCTCTACATCTTCTCCGTCATCTTTATCATCCCCGTTTCCGATGCAGCGACTGGCTTCGGGATCCAAGCCCTTGACCCAATTACCAATCTGGCCAGGGTCGCGACCGCTACGAAGACACACGTCACGATTGGACATGGCTCTAGACGTAGAGCGGTCAGCTTCTGGTGCAATGGAGATCGGAATGGGCATGCTCGAGCCTCGGGAGCTGAGATCCGCTTCGCTAGGAACACCCGCCTTCGATTCTGTGGGCCGTACGTCTCTCGATACTTTTGAGCGCCATTTCAAGGGCGAAATGCCGTCTCTTGCACCACCAGTTGTTTATGAGGGAATATTTGATGTTCTAGAGAACCAATGAACCCATCTTCCAAATCCAGTTGAAGGCGAGTTCATCCCGTTACGAACACAGCTTCACCAGGAAGTCGGGTTGTGAGCTCGATTGGGACATTCTAGACTAAAACCCTCTGGCTGTCGTTGGGATAACGTTTGGTCTATTTGTGTGTTGTAACACATTGGGAAAGACTCATGCTGGCCTGAAAAGAGCCTCTGATTGAAAGATGGCGATGCAGACACATATTGCACATATTGCAGGCGATGTCCCGAGTCTCGGTCTAAAGTAGCCACCTTCGACGTCAAGCTAGTACCACCAGCTCTGTCCGCGCCACCGCGAGAAGGATAGCAAATCGCGAGTTTACTCGCCATGATGCCATTGTATCATCAAACAGGAATCGGAGGTCCAACGAGACAGCCAGCACCAAATTGTATCAATAATAAGACGATATTTTTGGTACAGCAGCTCAATCGTCGCGAGGTTCTTCGATTTTGCCGACGCTTGTGTTCGACAATAGCACGGTAGGCAATCGGCGTTTTCTTGAATGATGCCTGGACAATGGGCTAGAAATATCGAGACATAGGCAATCAGCAAGGCTGAGCTAGGTTGGGCCAGACCGGAAGGGACTTCACGTCTGGAAGATGTAAAGTGAAGTCGAGCTTCTATAAATCAGGCGATCACGGAAGCCTTATCTAATATTTCGTCACCTAACCATAGATTTGTTTTCTAAAATCTTCCTGCTCACGAAAATCTCTCGTCGCTTGTCTTCACCAATGAATTACTCCGCTTTTGAGTGGTTAATTGAACCAAAGAAGACGGGGGTCTGAAACAAAGTCCAATAAAAAACAAAACATAGATATGTGTTGGATTTTTTCCGCTTTCTAAAGTATTTTTGTGTGTCCATCAATATTCCCACAGTTGCTCTCGCACGCCAGTCTAAAGAATGTATTTACGTGATTACCTTCTAACTACAGGATTTGGCTATCGTACGAACACATGAACTATGTCTAGCACTCCTGTGCGTCAGTTCGGTCTGAACGTACATTATTTTCACCTTGGACCATTAACCGAGGGTCGAGTGATTATACAGTTTGTGCCCTGTCCCAGGTGTGCAGAATCATGTATTGTACGGCCATGTGACGTTGACGTTCCAACAATGTCGAGCATGCCGAGAACTTGCATGTTGAAGGGAATGGATAACTTACCAGTTGGCACACCTTTAACTTTGAATGTTGGTAGCCCTCCTCGGTGCCTTTGGTCGAGGACATTTGCAACATATTGCCTATCTAAATACATCACCTAGAGAGATGTTATTGCAGAGGTCAAGCCGAACAATGCCATAGTAGAGCCTTAAAACGGAGAATCTTTCAATTCCACAAACGTCTAACATGTCGATATTGAACATGTCTGAGTTGATTCTGATGAAAATTGCTTCTCGCCGAATGCCAACAATACTGACCTGCACGTCCATAATGTATTGCAACAATTTCCGTAGACAACACTCGGTTCTCTTGGTTAATATGACGACGAATCTGCCTTCCCCCAAGGGTGTTATGACAAAAGCCATATAGATGCTGAACGGCAACAACGGAGCCCGAATGAAGGTCTGGGCTGGAAAACATGTAGCGACTGGTTTTGTGGACAACATAACCTTTCGCAATTTTCATTCGGCAAACTCATATACATTCAAGTCTCGCCTCTATTTGATTGATATCTTTAGAGTAACAATCCAAGAAATCCCCGAGTGGCTCTGCAAGAGAGAATGGGGAGTAACCCTGTCAAGAAGTTATTCATGGATCAGTGATTAAAATGGTTAGAATCTCAAGACCACTTTTACACCTTAGCGGGCTATTACTACAATAGTGAAAGAAGGCAAGAGACCCGATCAACGCGGATGCAAACCTGGAAGCTGCTGGTTGCACTGACTCAAGTCCTGTTGCACGCATTATTGCGGAGGCAAAAGTTTCGCCGTGCTTTTGAATCCCAGGAGTTGGAGCCCATTATGAGCATTTTCTTGGAAGGTAAGACTGCATCACTTCTCAATGGTCCGGCTAATTTGATCGGATGGTGTTCGGCCGAACAGTTCCGCCTTGGCGGGATTGCTCGGGCATGCCTTATCCCGTTTGTACAATCTTCTTTTGCGAGATGAACCAGTACAACGTGCCTGGACTTATCAGTGGCTGTTCCGTCCAAAAGCTGACTTCCCAATATTACCTAGCCTTGTTTAGGTGGTGAAAGATAAGGTTAAACGCTTGCCGGCAGTTTGTCGACGGAGGCTTTCTCCCAGAATGGCAGTTGGTCTTGGCATATGCGGAGAAGTGTAACGTACAAAGAGTGATAAATGTACATTCCGTAGGTCAAGTCGCGTTTTGGGTCACGTAGCGTTGTATCGATGTTGCCGCAAATCACGGGCTGCTGCAGGAACACAGACCCGGGCCTATCACAAGAGCAACCGCGGACCAGATTTGCACGGTGACTAGGGAGTAAGTGACGAAAATCATTTCTGAGATTGTCGCCCTCGGCGCATGTGATACCATGGTGCCATGACCTTTCATCTTAGGTACTGAATCGGGCGATGAAACCAGGCCTAGGTTAAAATCTAGTTATGGTAGAAAGGCAGCCGTATCATCCACATAAATGGATGCATATTAGGGTCTGATTGTTCGCCGCCTGAGCATTGGTGGTCTAGGAAAATATATGTAATCCGTTTGGCCCCTACATTTTGCGTATCTTCTCTTCTCTGGTTTTCTTATCAAAGCTGCGAAACCCATCTCGGATACACCAAATCAGACCCTGAGCTACACCATCTACTAAGCATGAAGCTGTCATTTCTCGTCACCATCGTGGCTTACGCCACTACTGCTCAAAGTGCCATCACATGGACTCTCCAAAAGGGCACGAACCCCACGGCCGACGAAACGGACGCCTACAACAAAATTGAGGCTGCTATGCGCCTTGCCGTTGCACGCCATTCCAGACTTGGAAGTGCAACCAAGAACCTGCGTGTCTACTACACTCCTGGTGTTCCGACAGCAGAGTCAAACTACAACGGCGACATGCGTTTTGGCACCGATCGCGCTTACATGAACGAGCGCACTGCTCTTCACGAGATCTCTCACACCTTAGGTGTTGGTCAGACCGAAGCATTTGACCGCAAGTGTGCTGCAGGCGATTGGGCGAGCGCATTGCCACTCCTTCGGTCTTGGGATGGAGATAGTGCGGTTATCAACTGCGGAGGCTCACACATTTGGCCATATGGGCTCAACTACGACGATGAATGGAGCGAAACGAATGCCAACCGCCACGTTCAACTGATCAATGCAATGATTCGGGATGGGATGTAGGTGCATTGTCAATCAATTATGAAAGGTCAACTGTCGTGCAATCTGTGGCTGGGAAGGGGATGCAATTCTATTGCTCTCAGACTCTGTTGACTAGGCAGAAATTCCTCGGAATTGTATCGAAACTAATACTGAATGTTTTCGAATCTCTATGTTATATGTGCGATAAGATTCAAGAAGTCATCTATTCGAATGATTCTCTTAGTGCGTCTTCGACAGCACGTCGGCATGGCCAGACGCATTTCATGGACCAAACAACATAATGCCATGATGGCTACATAAAATGTATTTCTTCATGACCATTATGCCTTCACCAGACGACCAGGAAAATGACGAGCTCATGTTTCTCCACCCTGGACATGGATGATGTCTCCTTATTGGTCACAGGAGTTTGGTTTGCCGACGACATATAACCCATCAAAGATATGGCGCACAAGTGCAGGCATCTTCTCAAATCCAATACATACCTAACAGCCTTATCCCTGAGGCTATCGATCAAGACGGACATAAAAACGTCCAAACCTCGTATTGCCCAGCAGACGCCTATATCATTCATCACTTAGTGTCACTTCTTATGTTAGCCCGTACTTGTCACATTTGTGACCTACTTCGCCAACCCTATTGCTCCGAGTTCTTTGTCTTAGGCGAGCGGCATAATTCAACCTTGATCCAGATAGAAAGAGTAGCATTCTCTAGTAGGGTAGCATATGTAGAAAGTCGGGAATCTCTGCGCTGCACTTTCTAACACGATTCCTGTACGTCGAGTATCACACGGCGCTATTCAAGTCTTCATACGTTCCCGTGCATTTTGGGCTATTCCCCGTGAGGGGTATATTGGCTATTTTGCATTTCCAACATCAGTAGCATCAAAAGATCATAGTGGGGAGGCTTGGGGTAGTTTTTGGTAGATTCTTGACCGAACCTGGTCCGCTGGCAATTAGTTGGTTTAGAGATTGATAGTTTTTGGAAAGAAATACTATGGGAATAGACGCTCAATAAATGAATATACGGCTGAACGTCCATGAGTGCTTTGAGAGAGATGCGGATTCACTAAGACTTAGAGAAAGAGTCCTTGTAATGGCAACATTTACGGTAGTGTTGAATGACTTTTGATCGATAGAACTTGGTGTTGGTAGTAGATGCCTCATAGAGACTGCTACTGCACTGTGTAGGAGAGAATGGTTGATGCAATTGGGGTTGTGTGTTTGATTGCAGTCTAGAGGTTCTCAGGCGAAAAGGGGCGATGAAGAATCATAGCGCGACAAGAAGACCAGATGCTGGTAACTAAAAGACGACTCTGTTAATCAGAGTTTTGCGAGCCTTGGTACCATCAAAATTCTTGTTAAAATCGACTGTACAGGGCTATATCACCAGCCGCGGCACAAGACAATAGAAATAGGACACCTGGTCCGTTAACATTGATTATTATAGCAGCTGCCATCAATCCAGATGATAGGGAGAAATGGACTGAAAATATACTCTGTTTAGGTCTACTGAATAACTAAAGAAGAATGATGTTCACCACCATCGAGACGACGTACAGAGCACCTGGTCTCCTGCCCACTGCGTGATTCCTCGAGCAGATCAGATGCATGAGATTCGAGTTCCATGATACCGATTCCGGTAGTTTAGTAGTCAATCTGACCGCTATGCTGTAGGCCAGCTGTTGCCATGTCAACTTCTGACTCAAAGCGAGGCCAAGATCTGCTCTAATGATTTCTTCTCTTCGCAGTCTTTCAAAGTCTTCCACTCTTGTCGCTTTCTCACTGTTGCCTGTCTATGCACACGTTTGATCGCAGGCTTGCTACATCCGCGAACCCAATCAGTGCTTCCAGTTTTCTGGCTGAGTAGATTTTGCAGCCTATTGGGACAACTGATTGCGTGAAGAGGAACAGTGAATGGTGTATCATCGCAAGGGTCGTGCATGACGAGCATTCGACACTGACAAAGTAGCCGAGGATAAGGGCTTCTGTCGGCAAGCGGATGAGTCGATCGTGTTTGATTCATTATTGTTGATGCTTCTTTGCATTCTGTGCTGGTGACTTTGAGCTCTGCCGAAACTGGCTCAGGGACAGAAGTAGTTGTAGGTTGACATTGTGTGGTGATGGCATATTGCTCAGGTGAGATAACTTCTTGCAAGGGAAAATGCCGAACGGAATCGCAAGTTGAAGGTTGTTCTGTCATCATGGAATGCGGTGCTGAGGAGGATGCTCGAATAGGTGTTCAAATCTTGCCCGCTGGTAAGCACGATGTGCTCCGCTCGAAAAGCTTTCACGCTTTACAGTTCGGTCATGGATAGCGGTCAGAAGTAGTGAAAATTCTCTAGGCAGCTGTAACCGACGGCGCAGATTGGATGTAGCGAAAAATAAACAATTTCAATGAGATCGGGATTTTTGGCGGGAGGCTTCTTAGTCACAAGGAAATATCTGGTCTTGAAGTACGAATGTGACAAGGTTTGTGAGCTGGACAATAACCTGGGATTTCAGATCAGGTTGAATACCTAGCAAACAGTAGCAGCAGATGAGCGACAATTTTAATTATTTATTACGGCAGGGTTATGATTACCTCTCCTGGTGGCAACAGCATTGTGTACACATCTCGAAACGGTTACGGGTTCGCACAAACTCGTCCTCGGCAGAGCCTTGGCTAGGCCGCCAGGGTCTGTTTGGTTTGATTCGCTTTTCAAGCAAATTGGATGTATAGCAGGTACAAAGCATGGGCTTACGACCGTGAAGTAAGAATCAATGACAAGACGGTAGGACCAAGGGACTTTACACCGTTGGACGACTGTAGACAATGTAAGAGAAGTGGTCTAGTTGATCCCAATCGAAACGCGCCGGGTCAGCATCAGAGGACTAGCCGGCTGTAGTTGAATGGCGCCAAGGCTTCAGTTCCAAAGGAGGAACTATATTGATTCAAGGGCGATATCGTATCTATTTGATAGGAGAAATAGATAGCCGTTGGAGTTAGCTGTTGTTTGGTAATGGACTTGGGGGGAGGGTCAGGGATTGATTGTCTTGGAAAGCAAACTCGTTGGTTGATCCCTGCTCACGAGCTGGTGGGATGGCTGCACGGACAAACAGGATTTCCTACGTAGTATACTAGACGGTCCAGCAAGTAGTCGTTGGCGGATCAGTTGGACCCATTGGACCATGCGGTTGCAATGACTTGTCACCTTGGGGGGAGGGGGCAAACAAGCCAAATAATACACCATGACGCAGTCGCATCCATCACCATGTGCTAAGTCAACCTACCCACTTTTCGGCACCCCCTACATTTCGGCATACCAAAAATGCCGCCCAGCCACCCTATTAACAGCTATATCTATAACTTTAAACTACTACCACTTTTTTTAACCTTTATTAAATTACTTTATTTTTTTAAGATACCTTCTTTATATATTAATAGTTTAGTATACTAAAGATAAGATTAATTAAGCGATTAATGCTATTAAAAATAGCTATAGTGTTGTCTAGGTAGCTTCTATCTATAGTATCTTATAAATAACCCTCTAGTATTAACTAAGAGGTACTTAACTAAGGAAAGCAGTATTTAAAGACCTCTAGAGGCTTTTAACTAGCTAGGAGGCTAGCCTAGCTAGTTAGGTAACTACCTAGGTAGACCTTAGGCACCTACTAACCTATTAATAACTAAAGGACTTTACCTATTATATCTTCTAAGCTATAGGGGATACTTAACCTCTAGGTAAAAGGTAAATAGATAGCTTTATTTAAAGGAACCTATCTATTAAGGTCTAGAGAAGTTAATCTATTAATTTAAGGTATATTAATAGGGTATCTACTAAGGTTATTAGGGACTAGTTTAAATATCTTACTATACCTTATATTTAAGCTATTAAACTAGCTAATAGATATAATATAGATAAGACTAGTATTCTTAAAGGTAAAGGTAATAATAGGCTAGTACTAGGTAAGGCTTTAATAAAGATAATAAAGAAAAAATAGCCTAGATTATAAGCCTAGGTATTTATTTATTATAGGATAATAGGTAATTGCCCTAAAGTCCTAGGTAGACCTAGTAGGTTAAAGGAATATTGTTCTTAATATAGTTTAGTAAGTGTTTTACCTAGTAGGGCTAGATAAACGCAAGGTTAAAAAGGTGCTAACCCTCTAGTAAAAGGCTAGTAATAGCTAGGTTAAGAATTAGCTTCTATAAAATATAAGACCTATGTTTTAATTATTACTTCTCTTTACTAGTACTATTATAATTCTAATTCTCCTTATTTATCTTTTATCTTATATAATAAAGGCTATTAAGTTAACACTGTATATACTTAGAAATAGTAGTAATAGCTAGGCGTAGAATAGCCTAAGCGCTATATTAGGCTTAATCCCTTAAGCTGTCCTTAAGTATATTTAGGTGCTTAAGAGGCAGGTTAAAGTAGTAACTATAAAAAATTTAGAAGTTTTATAACTAGAAAAATTAATTACCTAAGTAATAAAAGGCTAGTAATACTTTAACACTTTAGGGTTAAGTAGTAAAAAAGAATACACCCTTAAGGAAATAAGTAAATTAAAGTTAAGGTCTAGCCTATAATAGCAAGAGGCATAGATTAATAATTTATATATATTTATTACTAGTGTACCTTAAAAGTTTAGAAAACTAGAAAAAAGAATTATTCTAGTAAAAGATAATATAGATAATAAATACTAATATATATATATAGTAAGTAGTATATTATAGTAAGTAGTATATATCTACCTACCTTTCTATCTTTTTAATAACTTAATTTAACTAGATTATATAAAATTAATTAAAAATATATATTACCTTATTCTTTATTAGTATCCTAAACTACTTTATAGGTTTATATATTATATCTAGTCTTCCTATAATTACTATATTATTATATAAGTAGTTTACTACTCTCTATATAACCCCCCTTTTAGGATATTTTTTTACCTTTAGCTTTAATAATGTCCTTTTCTCCTTATAGTGCCTCTACTTTAGCTATATTAAGTAATCCTCTAAGATATAGTTAGGTCTTTTTAGCCCTCTAGCGCTTACTAAGTACCTTTATCCCTATATAAAGTTAATAGTTCTTTATCTTAATAATAGTAAGTTAATATACTAACTTACTAATACTTTTTAACTATAAGTTAATTACCTTATATATTAGTGTTAGTAAACTTTCTTAATAGTCCTTAATCTTTTTTTTTAATAAGGTAGAGCTTTATACACCTTTAATTACTGTTGTTAGTGTCTTTAGGTCTTATAAGCCTAAGCTAGTTAAATATAAGTTAACTAGTGTTAGTGTCTTTAGCTTAAAATCTAGGCAAGAAATAATAACTTTAGGATTAAAAGGTATAAGACTAGCCTATTAAAAACCTACTTATATATTTATTTTACCTATTAAAATAAAGAATACTACTTTAAAAGTAAAAAAAAAGTTATCTTTAGTAATATATATAATTTATATCTATATTATTTTCTTAATTTTTTTACTATATAAGTGCTTTAAAGGGCTAAAATAGCTAATATTAAGAGGCTAAAGCTTATATAATAAATAAGGAGGTATATATAAAGTAATAATACCTTTTTTAGTATAGTAGTTATTAAATTTAGTTAATTTATAGCTATTATAGCTATCTAGGATTAGAAGGTAATAAGTACTCTTTATATAAGACTTTATATACTAATTAAAGTACTTTAGCTAATCTAGGCTAATCTTGTTTATAGTCTATCTGTTTTTACTTAAGTAAATACACTATATAGCTAGAAATTTACTATTAAGGTACTATAATAGAAGGTAATATTTACCTTTTATAATAATATATAAAGGTATTACCTAGCTATCTATATATATACCCTAAATAATAGAAACCTATTTATAATTACTAGGCTACTTTATATAAGGCCTTTTATATTAGTTAAAAGTTATAATAACCTTTATATATAATAGTATTCTTATTAAGAACCTAGTCTTATTAAAATTATAGATATTATAATCCTATATTTTATACTTTATAATTATATTTTATATAAGTATAAACTAGCCTTATATAATTATAGGATCCTTAGCTAAGGCCCTCTAATAGTTAATCTAACGTTAAAATTACATTTTTAATTAGGGTTATTATTATATAAAGTTCTCTGCCTATTAGGGTCTAATATATGTCCTATTGTATACGTTAAGGAGTTAATTAGCTATATCTTATATATCTTCTTGTTATAGAGGAAATCCTTAATTAATTAGGTTAATAACCCTTTTAAGAATTACTTCCTCTTTAGATATAGTTATTTTTATTAATTTTAAATATATTTTAGCTTATATAACTTTTCTAGTGCGTTAATAATAAAGTGTAGTTTTAGGCATATTATAGATAGAGGCTGCCTTTTGTATAGATAGATTTTAGTCTTTTTAGATAGCTGTAATTACAAGGATAATTTAGCTTTCTTAAGAAGAGGATTCTATTATTATACATAGAGAAAGGTTAATATAAAGATAAAGCTAGTAGAAATAAGGTAGATGTACACTACTTACTATAATATACTACTTACTATATATATACATTAGGTAAAATAGGACTAATATATTAACTTTCTAAAGAGAGAAGATAAAGAAAAAGCTAAGGACTTTAATTATTTCCTAGAATAGACTAAAACCTTTCTTAAGGACACTGTTTATTAAAAGCTAAACGTTATACACTCTATAGTTATAGTAAAGTAAAAGGAAGGCTAAGATCCTAAGTAATTTTATATATATTTTAACTCTCTTAAAAAAGAATTTAATAAAAGACTAGAAAAAGAATAAGCCCTAGAGTTTTACTATTAATTAACTAATAAACTCTAAGATAAAGTATAGAAATTAGTAGTAGAGCTACTAAAAACGTATATAGAAATAGTAAAGCTAGCTTAGAGAGTATAAAGGTTAATATAATAAGTTAAAAAACTATTAAAGTATATCTAAAAAGGTAGTAAAAACAGGGGGAAAAAACGCCTTATTAAATCTAAGGTATTAATAATAACTACTAACTAAAGTTATAAATAATAAAAACTTACTAAGGTGTACTATAATTATAATAAGCTAAAGCACTTTTTATAAGACTATACTTAACCTAAAAAGAAGTAAGATAGGCCTACTACTGTGTCCTAAACTATTTCTAATCTATAGGGAAATAGAGTAAAAATAAAGTAGACCTAACTACTTTATCCTATCTAATATTCCTAATAGTATAGCGTTTTTATATTATAATATAGGTTAAAACCTATTAAGGACCCTTAGATTTATTCCTTAATTTAGATTTAAGGGTAAAATATAATATTATCTTATATAAATTTATAAAGAAAATAAGATTAGAATAAAGTAAATAAAGTATTCTAGTCTTAAAGGCGCTAAGGGGTATAATAGTGCTTACCTATAGCGCCTATAAAGTCCCTTTAATAGTAACTAATTCCTAGGGGATAACTAAGTAATTTACTAGAGACTATATTACTATTAATTAAGACCTAAGGCTAAAAGGTAGCCTTATGTTATTATTAATAGCTATAATTAAAGATA